AGATGTGTATAAGAGTATACACAAATACAGATAGATTTAAAGGTTTAAAGGCAAAATACTGAAAAAAGGACAATGCTGGGAGAAACAATTGCTGGATCTCGGTAGAGATACAAATTTGATAAGCAACAGCCAGAAATAGAACCAGAGCTTTATCGGACAACACTAGTCCTTCCTCAGTGGCGAGTGAGTGAATGTACAAAAAGCTAAAAACAACTGACTAGGTGAGATGAGAATAAACATCGTGAACAAAGAGTGAAAAAGAAGGCCAAACAGGAAATAATATTAAACTGTATAAATACACCAATAATTTGAGAACATTAACGGCATTAGGACCACTTTATGCTGCATTCTATTTTCATAAATGTGTATTTTTATGCGATTGTTATCGGCCTATTTAAATCAAAGTTTTATGACCCATATATCGTTTTTAAGTCACTATATAAATAATATTACACTTTATTAAATTAATTTAAATTATTTAGATAGAAAAAATACAGAATGTATATACAGACAATGATTTTGAGAACATTAACGGCATTAAGATCATAAATTTATATATAATTATAGCGATGTTATAATAGGCCTTCTGTATTTAAATTAAAACGCATTTTACGACCAACGGATCGTTTTTAATTCACTATATAAATAATATTACACTTTAATAAATTAATAAAAATAATTTCACTTATCCTACTTTAAAGAATACTTAGATTTACATTGTAGAATGTAGATTGCAAAAGCATGTGCCTACGACTGTACGGTTTTACACAACAACAAATCTTTAGCTCTGTTTTTTTTTACTGTTTACATTTTCACTCAGATATTCCGGTTTATGCCATTGTATGAAAAGGACTCAAAACTATTTTAGAGCACAGTCTCCTGTCTGAAAATGTAGGCCTGAACAACAACACAATAATGGATACCGCAACTAAATCTAACACCATGAAGGCATACGGGCTTGTACAACTACAGTATGGTACACTATCTCTACTTATATATGTATATTTTCTTACTTAAGAGAAACACCATTGACATTCTAAAATTCAATATTTCAGAAGATGTTTTTGCGACGACGTGTCTACGACACAGTTCCGGTTTAACACGCTTGCTTTAACCATAATTTGGATATTATAAGACAGGTGCACAACCAACCAGGTATCTGAAGGAAAATTGCTGCCATGGACAGCAGTGCCCTACCAGGATAAACCTACAAATTAATAGGTCAGCGCTCACCCTTTATTAGCTTCCACCCTCGAATTGGTCTAGCACTGGGGCCGAAACGGTATCCGACCAGTTTGTCAAATCCAGTTTGCCCAAACCCATGCCTTGCCGAATTAATGGTCTCTTTGCCGAAACTCAGTTGCCGAATCCAGTTCACCGAAATCATGAAAACCCAGTTTGCCGAAACCAAGTTTGCCGAATCATTTGCTGTCACCATCGTACAAAAGTACAGCATACCGTGCTTTTGAAAACATGAAGGGTGGATCAGAGACTAGCAATATTTACAATTCCGTATTTGTACCCGTGTAAACGCTCCGCTTTGAATATAAACGCCTGTTTAAAAACACCCCGGCCATGTCGTATATTTTTTCCTCGAATAAACTCCCCTTGACTGTAAACAGATTTAATGGAAACATCATACCCAACACTTTCTGCTAATGTTTTACTCCAGTAGAATTACATTTTAATTACAGTGGAATTTAGGGGCGTTTGAGTATATACAGCACGTATCCATTTTACACAAAAAAATAAATGCCTGATTCGAATAAACACCTCCCTCGAATAAACTCCCCCTCCAAAACCATTCTCAACAATAGACGCGTCAGGGTGTTTATTCGATCCCAAAAATGGTAATTTACCTATCCATATAACGTTATTTTGATTGTCAATTTCTAATATTGTGGTATTAAAAAAACCTAAAAACTTCGAACGCGAACAAATGGATTTTTTATGCCGGGACCCTGACTCTAGTCAGCACCTTGATTCGGGTGTATAATTGTAGATTATTATTATTTATCTACTTATTTTTTATAAGTATACATATTATTATCTTAATTAAACTTTATACACTTATAAATATGCTTATAAGCCATTTTATCTGACAGGCCTATTTAATTAATTTTTTTTTGCTGATAGCTAAATTGTTAATCAAGTTTGATTTACAGAATAAGACAAAACTAATCATTAAACTATAATAAGCAGTTATTTATTATACGAATAAACAGAGATCGCGTAGGTTTGTTTGTTTGTTTGTTTGTTTTGTGATGTAAATGAGTTAGGAATAAACATGTTTGTGAAAACTTTATTTGTAACTATCCTTTTAAAACGTAATTAAGGCTTTTTTACAAGTAGAGCATAACTTTTAGTATTAGACTATTTTGCGAAACCTGATTTTTGTCAAGAATATAATATTATATAAAATTGATAAAGCTGCATACGCAGAGTGACAAAATATAATAAACAAATAAAATGGTTGTAATCTGCATTAGTATAAATGTAGTCTCTTATACACATCTATATATGAGATAAATGACATTTTTGGTGAGGCAATTAATTGATTGCCTTATCCGAAATATGTGGTTTGTTTGGTTGCTCTTGAATGATTGATGGTCACCTGTATAGCTGTCTCTTATACACATCTAGATGTGTATAAGAGACAGTATTGTGGTATTATGTCTTCAACAAATATTAGCTTACGATACCCCATGGTATCATAAGCTATCATAAGCTTATTGGTTGGAGTTTGGTTGCAAAGAGCCTTAGGTTGTAAGTTGTCTTTATGTTTTGTTGAGATCAGTTATAATAAAAGTAATAATAATTATCATCATAATAAAATAATAGTTTTAATATACAATTCACTTATATTAGTTTACATCTTCCAAATTCAAATACATCATGTAGGCTAATAACCTTTATACTGGTAAAATTTTAAATTGGTAGACAGGTTCTAAAAGATTATTAATAAGCACCTGATTATATAATACATTTTTAACCATTTGGAATTAATTTATGGCATTGAAAACAAAATTAAACAAAAATACCCATTTGAATTAATTTATTCACAATTGTAAATACGGTAATTCAAATTTAATGGTACAGTATTTATCGGAAATGAAATTAAAATAATATTAAAATACCTCGTACACGCTATAACCTTTGGAATTAATTTAAGTTTAAGTAACATAAATTCACACATAAGATGAAGATTTTATTTTATAGGAAATATTTCTTGCTAGAAATAAACAGGATACAAGTGGTACTTCAAATCCTTAAACATATTTAAGCCCCTAAATCAAATGTGATAAGTACTATGATTTGAATTGGGAGATGGTTTGTGAGACCAGTGCCGACCCCTGCTGTGTATCTCCAATATCAGGGATAGGCCTATACAGTGCACCCTACAAATCGAGACCAATCTAATTCCGAGACCCCTCTAATTCGAGACCACTTTTCCAAAGACCAAATAACAATCTTCAACCATTTAACACAAAGCTAGCCCTCTAATTGGAGACCAACCCCGATACCACCCCAAATTATCAGGTCCCGGAAAGTAGTCTAGAAATTGGAGGGTGAACTGCATTGTGCCTTCTATTGAAACTGCGGCGGTGGACCATGTCTATCATTCGACACTATTTCTACCCCTCATGTATACTTTTGGAGTACTTATGAGGTCGGCTTTACCCTGACTAGAACCAAAACCTCCTCTGATTCAGTAATTACGTTCCACTGAACCATCCATGTGGGCTTGAGTTAGAAAAGTTCTACCTTGCTCCGACGGGCCTTCGATAGCCAACCTGATAGAAACATAAACCTATGTTGTTAAGGATGTTTTAAATGAGGACATCGGGACAATGTGAACACAAGCTAAAATAAAATGAATTGAATTGACAATGGGAACACATACAGAAAATTGTACAAATCATCATCATCATCTTCATCATCATTTTACCATCATCATCTTAACCATAATCTTCTACACCACCATCATCATCACCATTATCATCACCAAACATCATCCTAAACCTTATTCATTAACATCATCATCCTCATTATCGTCACCCACACCAGCATCATCATCACCATTTATCATACAATACAATGCAACATATCTTTATTCATCCCACATAGGGCAATTAAATAAAAAGGGTCTGCATTACAAGCTAAAAAGATTTTAAAAGATTTAAAAAAAAAAAGCATTACGTCATAAAATACAATAAAATTCAAAGGAATTTGGATTACAAGCTTAAAATGCATTACATCTTAATACAATACAATCACTTACAAATTTAGTTTGTTACTGTTTAAAAGTCGAATGGCAACGGGCACGAACGAATTTCTCCTCCGGTTAGTTCTGTATGCAGGACATCGAAAACGGCGACCATGAGGCAAAAGCTGGAACTCACTGAACATAGCATGAGATGCATTTTGTAAAATTTGCAGTCACAAAAACAAGATAAGCTACGTAACTGATCACCTATTAATTTGGAACTTAACGATTTTTTATAATGAACTTCTTTCGTCATCGTCAACATCATCCTCTTTCCTCATCCTCATCATGATCATCACCATCATCACCACCGGTGTCCGACCAGTTGGTCAAAATCCAGTTGACGAAACCCAGTTTGCCGATTTATTGTAATGAATTTCTTTCGTCATCAACATCATCCTCCTTCCTCATTCTCATCACCATATCATCACCAGCGTTCGAACAGTTGTTTAAAATCCAGTTGCCGAAACCCGGTTTGCCGAACCCAGTTTGCAGAATTTTGTCGTCACCGTCGTACAAAAGAGCAGCACACTAGTATTTTGAACTAAATGTAATGATCCTCAAAAGAGGCAGCCATCAGTGATGTAGGCTTCTTTAGGCACCAATTTCAAATCTACTATAAGGCTATATATACCATGTTTCCTTAAACGGAACATACCTCAAATAATGGAATCGACCATTACAGACAATTGAGTTTTATTTTCAATGGAACATCACAGTGATTAATTAGATCGATGATGATGAATTTTACTATATAAGACGTGTCATTTCCGGCAATCTATCTAGGTACTATTTCCCCAAATATTCCCACCTCAGCTCTTAACTATGATGTGGGCTTTAAAGTAGGTAGGCCTAAAGTAAATATATCAAGGACAATGTTTTTAAGTTTAATTTTCTATGGTTGCTGAAAATCACTGGTAAAACGTCACAAGAAATTTGTTGGCCCTTCATTTTGACTATATATATGGTGTTGACAATGAATTTTACTTTACAAGTGTCATTTCCGATCATCTAGAGCTACGGTACTATTTCCTAAAATTTGCGCACCATAGTGGGCCTGAGGTGGGCGCAGTGGCGGATCAAGGGGGGGGGGAATAGGGTGGCTAGCAATCCTAGCTATATGCCGATTTTGGTAAAGTTATGTAAGATTAGATAAAGTTTTAATAATTTTATTTTGTCCCAATGAAAGGTGAATTTCCGATAAAATCATCCTTCATCTTATCTAATACTTTTCCTCCATTTTTTTTTTCTTCAAAAATCGGATTTTATCGTCGTCAGTAGTCACCAATCTTCCAACAACACATATCGTCCAAGCTCCAAGAAACTACTATCACACTCACAGTGATTCACGTCAGCGGTGGCGCTAGGATTTGCTTGACTAGGGCCTGCCCAGAAACTGTCAGATGGGGTAGAGTGGAGAATCCCTTAAAACTCCTACATTATAAGATTTATTTTTAGAGCTGGTTCCCAATTGCACCACCACTGACTAAAACAAAAACAAATCAACTGACACAAAAAAATCCATCTGTCTACCAAATTCCTTTTTAATATATTATATTTTCTTAGCAAGCAAGCAATAAACAAAGCTCTTAAGACATCCTCTAAAAAAGATAGTGTATACAAATAGAGCGATAGAAACTGGAATTTCACTACAGTTAGGCCTGCAGTACCACCATGATTTTCTGCCAAAACCTTTTCTAGGAGGGTCTTTGATACATTTTATGAATTTTATGAAACTTACGAAAATACACTTCCATTATCCTTCCTGTCTTTTGTTGGGGGTAAAAATCTTAACAATGGCATAATAACATCTTTCAAATGTGTTCTCCGAACATGTTCTAATCAATTCACAACTATACAGTAATCTATGTTTACTGATTAAATTTTGTCATACCAAAAGTGAAAATATGATAATCATCACAGTACAAATTTTATACAAAGCAGATAAAAATAGCCAGGTTCAAACCAGCTCTTATAAAGTTACCAAAAAACAGCTTAGCCATAATATCTTTGGATGTACTTAAACCATTTACATCAACCAAAATATGAAGTCACCAGTAACAGGGAACTTTCGATTTGCTCGACGACGCGTGACGCTAAGTATTCCCTCATGCGTGACCCTCCTACGGCCTCTGCACAACGTAGTTTGGTCAAATTACGTCCGAGAATCCATGATTTTGCATGCGCAGATGGATTATGTGACGTCATTACACTGTAGGTTCTACCGCGCCCTGCAATCGAAAGCTTCCTAATCACAGACTGTTAATCACTAATATTGTTGAACAATGTACAAAAGGTAAACCACCAAACTTTACAGTGAATATGTCTATATGCAGTCTATATGCACATGGAATATGCTGACCTTTGATGGTCACCTGTATAGTATTATGAAACGTGGACACGTCTGTGAGACAAACACCTGTATTACGACAACAGATGAATGAAACATGATCATCAAAATTATGACAAGTGGACACCTGTATGATACAACAGCAGGCATCTTCTACAGCAGTTGACATGATCTCTTTATTGCCTACCAGATCATAAAATTATAGATTATGATTATCAAATAATATATTATAAGAGTATTGCACACCTGCATAAAGACATAACCACATGAAAGATATGAAGTCACCTGTATTGATGTGGTCACCTGGTATGAGGTCAGACCACTTGCATATGATGTTCTATTGAATGCCTTTTAGTCACATGATTAAAATAGAAAAACAGTTAAATTTCCAGATTAGGAGCTAGTAAAAGTGACATTATGACTACCTTTCATCAGTAAATGTCACCCTCAAAAAGATGACACTAATGATATGAATCAATAATCATAGAAGATTGACAACACCAGAAAAATCTTCATGTATTCAAGTATCTGGCGCACTCGTAGTAATAACAATTACCGGTATTATTCTAATTAACTACTGCCTACAGACAAGGAGTTGCTTAAGTCAAACTCCTTAAGATACCCAATAATGAGCACATCAATGGCAGAAATAGCCTGGTCAACCACCCCAGAGGTGTGAACCAGTGGCAGGTAATGACCTTGTTGGCATGCTCAGCATTGTGCACATTGTATTTAGGACTGCAGCAACCACCATATATTTTTTTTCAGCAACAAAAGCAAGGAAAACAATGATTGAAATACTGAAGAAATTAACCAGATACATTTATGAAAATACAACAATTACTGGAGAATTTTCCTAACTCTTCCATTTTCAGATGATGTCACAAGGAGTACATTTTATCTTTTCAATTTTCTTTAATGTGGTCTAAAAAATTATTGTATACTCAGTCATTCATACCGAAACTTGCAAGTGCAGCACGCATACGTTTACACTCTCTCACGCAGGATCACACACACCCCAACACACACACTTGCACCCAAAACAGTAAACGATAAAGCCGGATGGGGACCGCATTGGCCAACACGATTCCATGGTCAACGCGATGACAACAATCCATTCAGATGGTTACTAACAATCTGTCAGAGATCGTAGTGTGTGCCCGGCTGTATTATTCATAGATTTACATATGGTCTTACAGTCCCTGTTGAGCTGGCCCCTTGGTTACACCAATGGATAGTCTCAGCCTGTGACATCATCAGCAGCATTTAAATATCATGCATAATTCATTAGTTTACCTAACATACTTTGAGCTGCCAACCTGTGGCACATTATCTACACACATAGAATGTATAGCTCACTAATCAGGTTAACACAGTGTAATTTAACATTTGTAAAACAATAAAAAATTAATGACAACACTTTAAAGTGCTCATTCGGTTGTTTGAACTTTGGAAAAGAAGCTGATCAAAACAACTGGGTACATTTCTGTTGTTCACAGATTTTTACTACAAAAATCCTTAAATTTATTACCAGCTAACTTAAAGGCCTATGCAAAGGATATTTGGCAGGGAACATTTTTCTTGTTCTAATTTCCAGTTAAAAGTTAAAAACTTGCTTAAATACAAGTAAGCAATTTGATTGAAATAATTTTCACGATTTTGGTTTAACCCAGGCAGTACATACTTACTTATTTCACATTTTTGCTTTTAAAATGAAGTAATAGATTTCAAAGAATTTAAAAATCATGACACAATCAATGAATTAAATAAAATGTTGCATACAAATAATTGACAGGTAAGTTGCTTAAAAACCCAGCATAAGGTCTTTTAAATGCACAATATACAGGTAGATATGCATAAGAAAAAAAAAAAGTTTCATGATTAAGACATTAGCAAAATTCATTAGGCGGAGGTTTTCACCTTTCTTTTCATTATCATAAACTACATTCATATAAAACTACAAATATCTATTCACTTCTTTGTACAATAATATTAAATATATACAAATATGATTTACATAACACAACAGTGCTGAATTATCTGTCTTCTTACATGGCATGTCCATATATCAGGGGTTCCAAGTTTTCATAGGAGGCTCCGGAAATCAGTAGTCTCGCACATTCCAGCAAGCAAGTAAAAATCTCCTGGAAATTAACCCATCATCTGTAAATTCATGATGTTTAGACGTACTGTATTTAATTAATGTTCTCCATGATACAATTATTCAAGCAAGACAGTTTAAACCAGATCTCCAGAAAGTTGCTCTGTCAAACTTGCGACCTCTGATATACAAAGTAACAGATCATATCTATTCTTTTGCCATGATACATGGGCTTTCTGTGTTTCCAAGACAACAAGCCATGTCTATCCTGATCATGAGACAAGGACCATGCCTATTATGTCAGCCTATACATTCACACTATGTTTATTCCAGTTATTTGAAATATGTTTACACTATGTTTATTCAAGTTACCTAGACAAATAACTAAATTGAAACATTGAAATGTCTTTTATAATTATGTCTTATTGTTTGTTTTTTTTTGCCAAGAATCGCATATCATGTCTATTATTAAGATGATCATTTAATATCAATGTTATCTGCAGGGGTTATTTTTCATCAAATTTTTCTTCCCCAATTAAAATACCATTCATATTATAATCTTTGGCCTGTCATCAGTTGTGGAACTTAATACAGTTTTAACATAAACATGTTAAAAAAAAGAAGCAAACCAGCTTCTTTACATAACTTTATACTGTACATCAACCATAAAAACAAAACTGGCACATAATGGGCACCAACATCAACAACTTGTTAGATTAACAATGATACAGTCACACCAGAATGAAACAAAAACATGCCATTTAACCACTTGCAATATGTAAATCTTAACTCATATAACTGGCAATGCAGTACGTTGCCGTGACAAATAATTGTTTCGACATGGACATATGTATACAGAAGGCAAACATGTATTAGTTAAAGCCATGAATGCTTTAATTTAACTCTCAGGTTAATATTCTGATACAGCAAAAAATCATGGCATCATATCTAGGTCAACACTAGATTGCTATACCTTCCAACATCAAGTAAGAACCATTATTGGTAATCAATTGAAAACAAGTCACCGGCTAGAAATATGTGTCAACAATATTATCAATCAATCAATTATTGTTAGAGTGGATTTAACCTTTGGTGGTTAAGGTGCTCGCTTTCCAAAACTAGGCAGCTGGGTTCAAATCTTGTTAAAAACAACCATACTATTAAAGCCTCATGTTGTGACTTTGTTTAGAGAAAATAACTTCCATTCTCTAAGGTCGGGCACACATTGTACTAACTCTCGTGGTCATTCCGTAGACAATACAGTGTGACGGCACATGGCACAATCTGCTGCCGCCAAGCTCTGGGACGCCAGCTAAAGATCTTACGACCATCGCGCGACATTGTGTGCCTGGCCTAACTCGCTGTTGGATGAGAAAAAAATAATAAATATACTTTAAAAATTACTTTATAACAACTGATACTTTGCAAGGACAGCAAATATCTAAAAAAATATATGGAATGTTTTTGGAACTTTTTAAGGGCCTTTGTTCCATATGAGAGAAAAGAAATTTTCAGATAAAACAATAGGCATGTTACAAAAGTAATGAATACATACATACAATTATCAGTGTGATGTTTACATGCACAATACATTAACAAAGGCTCAACTTGGCATTATCCAGGGATTACATTTGTTTAGTCATAACCAGTAAACGCTGAAGAATTTAAAATATTTAACCTCAAACAAATCTGACATACATGACACAAAAGTTAGAATTTGTGCAGCACCAGAAGCCAATGACAAAATACACAGCTCAGAATGTTAGATAATTCACTTATTAAGGATGATTCTGGATTTGATCACACTAATATGTGGGACTGCCATTTTACAATTAGTGGATTATTGTGTCACATTTGTTGTAAAATTAGTATTTTATGAAATTAATAAAAGTGCCACCAAATATTAAGCCATAGGTTAATGCTTTTGAGCTACAAGATACAGTGGGACTTGCACCAGATGGGGGAAGACCACAGGGAGATAAAAGCATTTGCTTAATGAAAATAAACACTTACTACATTTTAACTCTAAGCATTCAATTTTGAAACAGTGAAAAGTTTTAAATGAACTGTACAACAAAAAATAAACTTTTGAATTTGTGAAAGCAAGTAGCATCACAAAACTACAATTCCTCTCTTTCTACACATTATATAAATTTACATATTCACAAATATAATATACAGATAGAAATGTATCCATTTGGATGTCACCTCCTGAATTTAACTTAGTTATCAACATTCTTTAAACAATTTGGCAAGATTCCCCCATTCCCCCCACCAAAAAAAAACACCCAAATGCTAACAAGCTGAATTATGTGGATAAAAACCCCATGAAAGCAACAGTATTGCAGTTACTAATGTTGAGTTTTGCCTTCTGTTTGGCCTCTTCAATTGCATGAAAGTATCATAGCTGCACAGCAACTATTTCCCAATCTAAAGGTCTGTCCACACTATCAATTTTTATCACATAAAATTTTATACTGTGGACATGAATTAACTTCCACTTTGATAACAAAATTATGGTAACTATATTGGTCCCCTTCTATAAATGCACATTCCATGTTTTCATTGATAAATCCTGATTTGTATTAATGTCACCCATTCACATGGGGTCACACACATTACATCGCGTAAATGATTGTTTACATGGGGTCACACACGTTACATCGCGTAAGTGATCGTTTACATTGGGTTACTCAATATAGCTTCCAAGTCATTGAGGTCAGCATCCAAGTACTGTTTTGCGCTATGTAGGCTTGGATTTTGATTGCCGAGAGGCACATTGTTCATTACACTCTGATGCATATCCGCGGTGTTCGCAGCGGCGTTAGGATGTGCATAAGCTGTGACACTAGTAGATACTTGGAGTTGTTGCTCCAGGGCGGGTGCTTGATGTGCGCCCATCGAGATAGTAGTCTGAACATTCGTGTTTAATTGCTGCTGGCGATTCATCATTCCTGAAAAATATCTTTGCTGCATGTTAACGTTAGCCACGTTGTTTGAGTTCATTGCTGGAGCTGCAACCTGGGCAAAATTCTGATTCCCAGGCTGGTATTGCATGTTAGACTCAACACCTTGAATGTTATATGCATTTCGATATCGAGGGTTTGGCACAGCAGTGCTAGCCTGCGCCGTGGCCTGAAGCATGTTTTGTGCCATTGTCGGGTTCATGGATTGATTCCTTACTGCTGGCCAAACTCTCTGTTGCTGCTGTAGCATCTGTCCCCTGAGCATATTGGCATTTTGTAGCAGGTTCTGTCTGCTCATTCCAGGCCTGAGTTGCGCATTCTGACCAGCGGCAAGCCTCATCATGGCAACACTCTGTCCATGCTGCTGTTGCTGAAATCCCCGTGCATTTTGATCTTGGAAATTATACATGGTGTTTTGTTGGTTTGTCATTGTTTGCATTGTTTGTCCAGCCTGGACATGTTGTACCGGCATTGCTTGATTTGGCATTCCGGTCATTCCCGGTATAGCATTTGACTGTCGGTAATCAGGTGGGTTCAATGAATTTGGAATGGTATTCTGACGAACCATTTGTGCTTGCTGAATTGCCATTGGTTGATTATTTTGGTACACAACATTATTCATAGGTCGTGCTTCCTCGTAACGTGGTGGCGGTCTTCCGTTCAGTACTTGTTTCATCTGATCTTGCATGTTTTGTGTTTGCATCAACTGTGGATTTTGTTGCTGCTGTGGTTGTTGCTGTTGCTGTTGCTGTTGCTGAAGTTGTATCTGTTTATACATTAGTAATCTCATCTGTTGTGCTTTTGATTGTTGTCGCGGCATCATTAGTGAAGTACCATTCGGTAACTGTTGCAGTTTGTTAATATACTGCTGCTGCGGTTGTTGGTGTGGTTGTCGCAACATGTGCTGTGTAATTGGCATATTTGTCTGTTTAAATGCTGCTAAGTTTGGTTTTTTCTGAGTCTGCTGTTGGCTTGCTAGCATATTAGGTGCAGCTCCTCCAACAGGCACTGTCACATTTGGCGTACGGTCAATGTTCACTGGCATCCTTCGATCTGTTTGGTATTCGGAATACTGGGCAATTTTTTTTGGATCTTCAAATACCCTACCACCAGGACCATTGAAGACCTGTTTCGGAGCTGCTTGCCCCGGTATAGGGACATTTGGTTGCTGTTGTGTGAACATACCATTCATACTTTGGACCTGCTGATTTTGAAGAGGCTCAGACTTAATCATGTTACTTGTGAAACCCATTTTAGCATGGGACATTGAAGGAAGTGGGTTCTGAAAGTTTTGTTGATTGTGTCCGACTGACATAGGTTCTCTCTTCAGGGTTGGATTTTTATAGAGTGACGGATTTTTTTGAGTGTTGCAAGAAATAGTGTTCATGAATTGTTGATTCTCTGCTTTGATTGGCTGCCGAAGAATATCCTGATTAGCTGGTTGATTTGGTCGTAATTCTGCGATATTGGGGAGGGCCTCGCTCGTTGGAGTTTTAACATCAGTGGCAACGGTATTTGGCGGCCCTTTCATATCGTATGTACCGCCAGCACCATTGTTATTTTGAGGCGGGGCTGCAGGGCTCCCCCGCGATATAGCGTTGGATATTTGTCCGTCGACCTGTCCAATTGACATACCGGGGGAGTTAGTACTATTAATGAGGTTTTCATGATTCTCGTTTGTTTTACAGTCTATGGATTTGATTCCGTAACTTTCGATTAACTCTTTTTGCAACTCTTCTTCAAGTTCTTTGAGTTTCTTTTCAATTTCTTTATACTGAGTAGGGTCGCGAATTTCATTCTCAATATCCGTGAATTCAATCCTTCCGTCAATAAAGTCTGAAACAAAACATGTGTTCTCATTTTTTGTGACCGGACTGTACGTCATGCCAGGATTTTCACCGATGCTTGGAACAGAATCTTGCTGCTGACTGATTGTAACATTCACGTTCGTTTTGTTGTTGTCATGTAGTGTGATATCAATTGACATGCTTGTACTTGAGACATTTTCTCCCGCTTTGTGATTGGATCGTTTTGGTGGAACCTGTTGAGCATCGGACTCACCAAAACTATTTTCACGTTTACGCTTATTATTTGTTGACGTTGGCACCGAGTTCAGCAACTTCTGAAATGATAAAATAAAATAGAACGAAATTAATCCGATTGTCTGGATTATAAAACTACATATTATAACATTTTACTTTTTTTTCTCTTTTGTGGGAATCGCCCACTTTTATTTCAATACTTTTTCATTTAACACAAATACAGGAATTTGTACAAAATGACGCTCGGGTTGTAGAAGCCCTTAGATACACACATACCATTTTCAAAAGAGCTTACAGTTTCTCATTATTATTATTTTTTTTATTTTTTTTTATTTTTATATTTTTGATCCTTTTGTTATCACATATAGCACATCATAATTCTTTATGCATATTTGTCTTGTAACATTTTACTTTGTTTAAAGAAAACTGGATGATTTTAGCAAAACTATTTGTTAAGAAAGAAAACAAAATTTTACTGGCCCTCTTCCTCTTTCTTTAAAAAACATAAGTATGTGAAACAAGGAATAAAGAGACTCTCCATGTTATAAAGAAAACTATAAGAGACCTATTCCACACTATCAATTTGATTGTGAAAAATATATGATGTGCCCATGGAAAAGAGCTAAAGAAATAGATGACAGAAATAGATTTAGTGTGGACTCACTATAACAATCATTTGGAGTTCTTTTTTTTGTTGTTGAAAAGTGTGTTTTGTACAGGTTTATAATGTTTTATTAAATAAGTGGTTGAAATAAAAAAGTAGTAGAATTTTTTTTAAATATTCACAAAACAATATTCGGACAAATAATAAGTCATGCTTCTTGTGAATGTCTTCGAGAAACAAAGCAGCAGAGAAACATAACAAATATCATATTTGGCCTATTTTACAAAAGTGATTCTAGTATCACTAAAAAAAAATAATACATAAATAAGTTACATAATAATTCAACAATTCAACAACATAATTCATAACATTGAAAATATTTAAATATATTTTTTAATATTTTCAAAATGATTAAATGGATGAATAAAACTATTAAACAAGGAAAAAAACAAAAACAAAGGTTTATGAAGGATCATTCAAAGCATACAATCCAAGGAGAACGCTAGGATAAGTAAATAAACACTATTTTGAACAATCGTATTGCCTTTCCCAGCCATTTACTTCTCACGTTAACAATAGGTGGTTGTTTTCGCAACCATAACATTATCTTTTGATATGCTATTGGACTGTAATGTTTTTCATGTATACCCAAGTTAGGTCACATGACCACCTGTATACAATCATCGCTAAATCCCTCTATTACTTTATAAAAATCTATAGTATGTACTACTAGCTGGTGAATCCAGAAGCCTGTCAACAAGCTTTGGCTTATTTGACAAATACATGTAATATGCCTAAATATGGTCATGATGACATCACATCACGACCATATCTAGGCACATCATGACTATATATGATACTGTACCTAGAAAACAAACAACTTGCTTCATCCAAACAAAAATCTCGCCAATACAAAAGTTCACCTCATCAAGTTATGTCTGGGAGGACAGGTAATGATAACTTGCACTGGCCTAAGAATGATGTCACTTCTTTCTAAATCATTCAAAACTGACCAAACTTCAAAAACTTATTTTCCCCCTAAATCCTTTGGAATGGAAAGCATCTGACCAACAAACAAGTGAATTGCTGATCATATTTACATACCAACCTTGTCAGTAATATCACAGGTATTCCATGGAGTTGCAAGCTTCACTAGGCACATGAATATGCAAATAACCAAGGGAGGTTAAAGATGGATGGTAGTCTATCCTCAGGGACGGACTCAACAAAACAAAGAGCATACAAAATCGAATATTAAACCCTACCAATTGATACCAAGGAGTTAGTAATTATGAAATAACTGAAACTTCTTTTTAAATACATTATATTTTACAGTAATTTTGTTACAATTTCATTTCTGTTATTTAGGCATCTGTTTTCTATTAAATTATATACATCAGAATACTTTTCTGGTATTACAGACTTACTATAACCTTTCTATGACCCACTTTGTATTTCAATTTTCTTTCTTGATAAAAAAAAATTCCAATTCTTTACTATTTATTAGATTTACAAATCCATTAAGTCTTCTGAAGTGTAGCGTTTTGAAATAATGTATGACTTTAACTAAATTCATTATTTGGTGTTTAGTCCTTTTGTTTATAAAAAGATACCTGTATACTCTCACAACAGACGCACCAGTTTTCTCCCAACCCTAATGGAGATTAGGGGAGATAGTTGGATGATAAGTATTCAAATTCGTCAAAAATTGTAAGAACCAAGATCCTATTTATGTGTTCAATTTAAAACTACAGGGAAAATATTGCTCAAACATAGTCCTAACTATGACAACACACCTATTAATAATACCCAAGCAACCAATATAATGTTAAGAATATTCCGTTTATCAAATAAACAAGAGAATGATTGTATATATTATAAGCAAGATACTTATGCATTGATTAGAGAGGGGTTTCTGTCACTACGTAGAAACGCACTGAAAAATGCCAAGTGAAAATTGCCTGACGTATCTTTAAGTGGCGTCGAAACAGGAATGATATACGCTGCACATTACGAGTGGATGTGCAAGTAGTAGATGAAAGACTGCCTGTGTGTATGACAAACGCCGTCATTAGCATCATCGAAGGAATACTAGCGGGACGCATAATAACAATCATGATTAATAACGCCTTGTCAAAATCTTACATACAAGCTTTTCTAAAATACTTTGCATTTTTCTCGTGATTAATGTCTGAACCGTTTTCCAAGCTAGATTTTATTCTATGCTCGTTAGAATTATCAGAACAAAGCACAATCATAATATAGTCTAATGTAATAAAAACAAAACACTGTACATTATTGAAAAACAAAAATAATTTTTAAAGTACCTTAACACTGTCACAAAAAAAAAAAACAAGGTTTATACATTTTTTCCCCTTCCTCATCTTTCTTTTTTCCCAAAGACAAAAAAATCTCATTGCTATCATTCATTTCATTTCTCTGATATTTTTTTTCAATTTTATATCTGAAAAAATATTCATCCAACTTTTTTTTTTTTAAATCTTACTGGCCTGAATATTCTTTTCTAAGTATCTATTCTTCTCTCTATCAATATTCATAATAATCTAGAAATGTTGTAATCCATGTCCACAAGTAATAAAAAACAGTAACAAATTATTAATGACAATAACATAATTACTCAAGCTGTAAAGTAGAGGTGGTTCCCCTCAACTAATACGGGCTAATTTCATATCCTTCTAGCAGCCCAAGGGAGGGTAACACCAACAGACTGGATGGGCTATGGTGTCAAGTATGACTGACACCTAATAAAATCCCCCTCCCTCTGAATGACACATACAATTCCAACTAGCCCCCCGCTCCCACCTCTCTCTGAATGACACATATAATTCCAACTATACCATAGGTATTAACATGCTAAAAAATTATCTAGCCACTCAATGATGTTATCATTGTACAATGTTTCTATGATCTTGTTAAACAATCCAAATGATATTCATATATCAAGGGTCACGACCTTTATGATAATCGAGTTCAAAACTCCACATGTGAACTCTATGACCTTGAGTGAGTCTCACTCCTACTTCTAGTACACAAAGTACTTACTATGCAGTACCATTCTAACAGAAAACATTACAAAACTAAACAAAACATACTGTTTTGAAATTGTTGCATATTTTTTATATCTCTTTTTAAATTTATTGTACTGTACATTTATTATAAATATGTTTTTCTTCAAAAAATGAGTTGTACACAAAATGGAAATAATTAAACTCTCTAACCCCAGGCATCCAAAAAACCTTCCAGTCCCAGATAACACACTGCTTTTTTTTTTTTTTAAATAAATCAGTTTCAACTACTGTACTATCATGTCAACAATTGACAATGAGGTGACTGCACAAAACCAGCAGAAGCGCAACAATAACAATGTTTTCATCTGACAACTTGAATCTACATAGCGCCCTCTCAAGGCAATTCATTCACATTTTCCTATTACACTTTTTTTAATATAAAAATTTTAATAAGTAAAATTTTGCCCAGCCCCAGTATTTAACTATTATTTTTTTTTTTGCCATTTCAACAGGCTCGAAATGTTCTTATTTTATCTTATTTTACCCACTTTTCAAACATAGAAAATTAATATTGTATAGCAGTATATTACTGAAACTGTATTGTTGAGGATATTATGTAGTAACATCTACTATTGGTTTTCTTTTTTCATCCTTTGTTTTTATTTTTAAATAAAAACGTCCTTTGACATTTTTCCTCAGCCTCAATTTGTTCTTAATTTTTAAGCAAATTCAGACTCACTATTCTTAGAAAATGTGTTCTTATTAAAAAAAAAAGTTGATTCAATTTGCAGTCATTCATTGCATCATTTCATATTTACACCTTGTACATGATTCAGGCCAGAATACAAGAGGTGTGATGGGTGCATGTACATCCCCACTCCCCATTAGTCAATCAATCAATCAATCAGCAATTTGATCAATAATGGTCTATGGTATACAACCCCTTTACAATTGAATACAAAACTCACATTTTAACCGTGTTTTTAACAAGTAACTGGACCTATCGGTGTTAGCGACCTCACGCTGAGCAAAATTACGCATAGGTCTAAGTGTGAGGCTGGACAGGGAGCCAGTGTGGTACAAGTGGTTCAAATATCACTTTCTAAAGACAAAATGTCTCTATTAGCAGGCTATTAGTCATAAACAAAATGTGTTGATAATTTAAATGGTGGTTAGCGAACAAAAGAATATTTTCTAGATCCATGGCTCGCACACTAACTTTTATTTAGAGTAAGATACAAAAGTTAGGTCCCATAAATTTTTTTTTATTAGTTTATCACCCGTGCGCGCATGTCTTATATGGTACCGGGAAATATACAAATTTTGAACATTTGTTTTTTGACGAAAAAAAAAATATAAATAAATGTTTTCATTTTTTTAAGTTAAATTGTCACAATAGTAGATATTGTTTATATTATCTGAAAGCTTTACTTTGGATACCAATGTA